AAAAATTCTCTCTGAGTTTTTCTCGACAGTCTTTTCTAGACCGATCTTTGTTTATGCAGAATTTCACTTCAACGACAAAATTTTAAGATTCATATTAGCTAACAAGCCACTTTCAGTACTGGAGCTCTTGATGAAGTCGTCTGCAAGCGTCTGCTGCAAGCTGCGCGACCGGCTCCATGTACCCTTCACCGAGCGTTCGATCTTGCGAAGGATTGGAGATCGACTCTAGATCAGGCCATCACACTGGGCTTCAAGACCGTCCTCACCAGGTACCTGCTAGGAATTTTACAGAAAAAATAAAGTGCTGAACTCTAGAAGTTGCGGTCCCACTAATATTATGGGGATCAGTTTGCCCAGATCTGATGTTAGTCAAATTCAAGAAATTCAGGTCAGTAATAGAAGCACCCTTGCGATTACGCTTATAGGTCGCAGGCGCTGGCTAGAACCCTAGGCTCTCAGACTTTCCTTAACAGCAGAACTTCGAAGTTGACAAATGCATTGCCTATATCTCCAACCCGACGCCTATAATTCTTGGGATGACCAGTTCGTTTGCAAGACAGGTGGAGGGGCAGTTAAAGGGCAATCAAACGCACGCGTAGTCTGGCCAGCACTCCTTTGGGATATATCTTCACGCTGCAATGACTTCATTCGTTTTCTTACACGGTACCCATTGATCCGTTAATCTCGTGCCTTCAGTGGCCAAGCAGCAACAGCGATAGCTGGTCGCGACAGACTGAAGAAAATCAAGAAGGAGGCAGCAGATCAAATACGCATCATGGCTGGTTTGTTGATATTGCTATTATAACGCCCTATCACTAATGGCAGCACCTCTTCAAACAGAAGAAAGGATATTTCAAGAAAAGATTATTCGAGAAATTCTCATTACTTCTTAGTTCAAACCTTACCTACACAGCTACTCTGAGTTGTTAGGACATTCCTTTCTAGGCTCTGGTGTCAATTCGAAAACACTCCCCACATTGCTGTCCGACACCGGATGCTCATGGTATCATGGCTCAGCTTCTGTCCCTGTGGAGCCGAAGGTAAGGTAACCCCCTCGGTAAGGTTAGCTAAGTGCACGCCGTTGCCGTGCACAATGTGGAAAATATGTTTAGGCTTCTCGACTGAATTACCCAACAATCTTGTAGATAAGAAACCCAATAGGGAGAGTGCGCGGCTACTGCTAGTAATACTTGAAGGAAAGCTCCGGGATAAAAATGGTGTGTAAGAACGCTTACTAACGAAGTTAGGGGTGCGGAAGGGCTGACAGGTAAAATAAAGCAGAAGAAACC